TGGCCATGTTTTAGTTGTCTCCTGGATGGTACGCTGGTTCATGAAGCTTTGTAGTGGGATTTCCTGGCGGTTTGGAACCGCGGCTATTGTTCCAACTATTGATTTTTTCCAAGGGTAGTGTGAACTAGGGACGAGCTTCGGCTGCACAGCGGAAGCGTCGATAAACTGAATTTGGGGAAGTGTCAAAATATCAAACAGCCTAGTGTGCTTGTACCACAGGGCACTCGCCCGTTCTCTCCCCCATCCAAGGCAGCACCAACTCATTCGAGTAATAAGTGAATCGCATGAAATGTCCAAAAACAGAGCCACCATACCGTATCTTCACTCAGGTGCGCAACACAAATGATTTAAAAATTATGTATGTCCATACATCACATCGTCAAACCACATCACAAGTTTCCACATGTCTTCAGCACCCTCGACAGCACCCAGTGGTCGTCGCTGACGACCGAAGACATTACGAGACATGCGCGGCCCTGCCTTCCCGCACGCAAGCCGGCGCTGCGGGCCTGCCCGTGGCGATCAGCAGGTGAACGCGTCACACACGGCGCGCTGACCTCGGCGGAGCGACCATCCTGGCGCAACACCGGGAGCCGGCCAGCCCCCCCCCCCCCTTCCCCCGCCCGCCGGACACCGCGCGCGCGACCAGCGAAGCTGGTGCTCAGCGGGGCTGCCGGCCCCTGCTCAGGGCCGGTCAACGTTGCAGACATCGTCATGCTGGGTGCAGAGGTGAGCCACCACAACGGCGGCTCCGTGCGTCCCGTCAGTCTCGTGCTCGACGCGGCCCAGGCCCAGGGAGGGAGAGAGCAACGGCTGCTCCCGTCCGTTCACAATCGACACGCGATATGCAGAGAGCAGACCGTCCGCAACTATCGGCAGTACAGTGTGATCGTAGAGCATCGCACAGGCTAGGAACACCAATAAATAACGTCAACAATGTCGCTAGTGGTCCCCCCGGTGGGCTCGGCAAAAATATAGTTTCCTCCCTGGAGCGCGCACTCATCTGTACACAACGACCGGCTACATGCTATTCTTCGACAAACATATACACTGTCTCTGACAGCCCGCCAGTCAACATCATAACGACCCACGGCCGCCGAAGTGGACACACAGCAGGTGCCACGGCGGGGCTCCTGCAAAGCGGCGCCGCCGTTGGCGGCTCACAGAGCTCCCTCCCCCCCCCCCCCCCCTCCTCCACCCCCGTTACTGGCTGTGATGACTGCGTCATGATCTGGCGAGCCTCCCACGCCCCGGCTGCTCCCTCCTGGCGGCCTCCGCGGCAGTTGAGACGGGTCCGATTGGTAACGGCGGTCCCTAGCACGGACCGGCTCTGCCGGCGCTCCCATGGCCGCGGGGAGACACGCGGTCTCGGCGCAACGGCCATCAACGGCATGTCACGAACGCACCAACGGCGCACCGGCCATCGATGGCATGTCATAAACGTGCCAACGGTGCACCGGCGGCGGCCATCAACGGCATGTCACAAACGTGCCAACGGTGCCCGGCGGCGGCCATCAACGGGCATGTCACAAACGTGCCAACGGTGCACCGGCGGCGGCCATCAACGGCATGTCACAAACGTGCCAATGGTGCACCGGCGGCGGCCATCACGGCATGTCACAAACGTGCCAACGGTGCACCGGCGGCGGCCATCAACGGCATGTCACAAACGTGCCAACGGTGCACCGGCGGCGGCCATCAACGGCATGTCACAAACGTGCCAATGGTGCACCGGCGGCGGCCATCAACGGCATGTCACAACGTGCCCAACGGTGCACCGGCGGCGGCCATCAACGGCATGTCACAAACGTGCCAACGGTGCACAGGCGGCGGCCAACTCCACGGCATGTCACAAACGCGCCAACGGCGCACCGGCCTCAATGCGCATCCGGCATGTCACGAACCGCGCTAACACGAGTGCCAACATTAATCGGAACAGGACACGTCTCAGGACGAAGCACACAATCTGCTGCTCAACAAGACCCATTCAAACAAATCTTTATCACACCGCCAAGTGCACAGGAAGTGCACTGCGTCATTCCGAACGCCGGTAATTTGAGAAACTGCGTCCCTATTTCAGTCTTGCCGTCGTACGGCACCCATAGCCAAAGGTTGCCTATTTCGTTACACTATCACAAGCCGGACCGCGCGGATGCACGTTTTGGTGCGATGATTGCAGGGAGGAGGCTCCCCAAACTCGCGAGCCTGATACTGGACGTCACCGCGTCCAAAACAGCCGCCTACTACCGCCAGCGCCACGACCATCTCTTGTGCGACTCGCCACACCCCAAACTACAATACACAGGCGAATCCCCTCAGTCATCCCGCCGTCCAATCTGGTGGTCGGACAGCCTTCTCCGACAGGCGCATGCGGAACATTTCCGAGGTGCTGCGGGGTGAGGGCAGAGGTGAGGGGGGGGGGGGGGGCGCACATAGTTACTTCTGCGGGTGCTTCTCGCGCGCACTCACATTGGCTGAGCGAACCAGCTATTTCAAATGTGAATTAACACGTCACTTACAGGAAAGTTGCTTTTCTTTTTCTACTTCTTCTGACTTTTGCACTGATTTTTTTTTTGCACTGTTCTAAGGCAGTCATTGCTCTAAACTGCTCCGTACTCGCCTGGGTACAGATATATGCCAATGTTTCAGGGAATGTCATTAAAGTAAAACGTTCCGTCAATAGGTACACCTCATGGGATGCAACCTGTTCAGAAGCAATGCTTGGGCTTTCCATTTCACCGACTGCCTGGACCGTTTCGAGGCGAGACGCCTCCAACATGTATCATGCGGAATGCGGTGATGGTGTGGCCGGATCCGAACCCCCAGACCAAGAGGTCCAGAGTCGAGCACCCTAACCACTACACCACCACCGCCACTCTATTTAATGCCAAAACACCTGCGCCACAATGGAAAAGACGAATCGGGGTGAATGGGGGCGGGTGGGGGTGAATGAAAATCGCGTCAGGTACACACATACACCATCCCGGGAGGCCACCACCAGCGGCGCCGGCCGGCCAGCGGCGCTCATCAGCCGTCGGTGGGCTGCGTCTGCATCAGCGCGTCCACATCCTGGCACGTGCCCTCCAGCCGCACCAGGTGCCGCCAGCCGGAGCTCTTCAGCCACAGCTTCAGCTGGCCCGAGAAGGCGCCCGCCTGCTCGGGGCAGAAGTAGACGTACATCTGGACGTAGCGCTGCGAGGGTGCCATCATGTGTCCCTCGGTGAGGTCGGTCAGGCTCGACTCATTGGGACCGGCCACCACCTTGAACGGGCCCGACACCCGGTACTCCACCTGGCGGCAGGGCACGCAGGGTCAGCCGTGGCACGCGGGGTCAGTCGGGGCACGCGGGGTCAGCCAGGGCACGCGAAGTCAGGCGGAAGTCACGAGGTCAGGCGAGAGACACGGAATCGGGAGAGAGACACAGGGTCAAGCGGGAGACACGGGGTCAGGCAGGTGGTGCTGTCCGCTGCAACACAGGCAACAGGCCTACACGCACCCCGGGTTAGACTCCCGGCACAGCCAGGAACTCGGCAGACGCCCAGTGGTTCCCACGAAAAACTGGACGGTGGAGGACGAGGGGCTTTACTTATCTCGTCTTGGACATAGAATGACGGCTGAACCTGAACCAAAATGCGTCAACTGGCATGCACGCTATTACGCGAAAGCACACGGGAACGCGCACGGAAGGCAAGGACAGGGGGGGGGGGGGGGGAATACGCACCGGCAACTCATCCCTCATCTTGTTGGTGATCTCGAGCTTGTGGCAGATGGACCAGTGCCGGAAGAAGAGGTAGTCCTCGGAGACGTGCAGCGGCGCCGTCAGCAGGTCAGACTCGTCCTCGCCCTCGTCCAGCACGCTGCCGCGGCCCGACACCTGCACTGGCAGCGTGTACACCACCATCGGCATCCCCCTGCGGGGGAGATACGGGCCTCAGCACGCGCACCGACAGCTCGTGCGCCACCACCAGCGTCCAGGGGCACAGCGCAGGGATCGCTACCAGCTGCGTCACGATCGCGCTCCGGTGCTGCATACTGACCCCGTCCATACATCCTCCTCGTGCCGCATACTGACTCCGTCCATACATCCTCCCCGTGCCGCATACTGACCCCGTCCATACATCCTCCCCGTGCCGCATACTGACTCCATCCATACATCCCTCCCAGTGCCGCATACTGACCCCCGTCCATACATCCTCCTCGTGCCGCATACTGACCCCGTCCATACATCCTCCTCGTGCCGCATGCTGACCCCGTCCATACATCCTCCCCGTGCCGCATACATGATGACTCCATCCATGCATCCTCCCAGCGCCGCATACTGACTCCGTCCATACATCCTCCCCGGTGCCGCATACCGACTCCGTCCACACATCCTCCCGCCTCACCCACGCGGCGACCGGTATACACTCAGTGAAACAAGCCTTGATCTGGTGCTCGCCGGCAGCGTGGTCTTACAGCGAGCAGACACTCTGCTCCCGACACCCCAGCACTTCATCAGGGCTGGCCGAGAGCTCCGGCGTCCCCGCTGGCACACCGGCCCCAGCCGGCACTCCGGCGCTTCCACTGGCACTCCGGCACCCCAGTCCATCACTCCGCCGGCACAGTCGGAGCTCCGCCGCCACTCCGCCCCCCCCCCCCCCCCCGCCGGCTGTCACTCACGGCGTCTCCTTGGCCGGCTTGCACAGGAGCTGGAACAGCTGCGTCAGCTGTCCCGGGTAGGGCGGGCTGAACGTCACCTGCAGGGTCAGCGTCTGACCCGGCTTGATGACGTCATCCTTGGGTCGCATCTTGAACACGTCGTAGCCGCACTTGACCATGCAGTTGACACCCTGCGGACAGCACGGCGACGTCATGCAGGTCAGGCAGCCAGTACAAACCGCTCGCCGGCTGGCACCGCTGGTCATTCGGAGCATGTGCTGAGGTCGACGGCACAGGTGGCGACTGTGCGGGGCGGCACCGGCGGGTCCCGAGCAACAGCTTCGATGGCTGCTCCCGGCATCGACCAGGATATGGCACCTCTGGACAGCCGCGCCACCGCCATCGGTGTCAGTCATGTCCTGCCGATGGCGACGCTGGAAATATAACGCGTGCACAACACGCAAGCGTTCGCGGATACAGCGTCATCGCCATGGACGTGTGCTGGACTCGACATCGGGTCGGAGTCGATCTCGGATCGAAACTTAGTGAGCCACGATGGAGTCGGTTCAGTTGGGTCTGTACTGTAAATCGGAGTCGGAGTTGAGCCAACCGCGTCGCTGGGGTCATCGATGTGCCGACTCAATCTAAGTGTAAAGAACATTGAATTCCTTCATCCTGGCTGTTTAAATGTGCATCAAATGAAAGATTCAATGTTTTCTGGCCTTGCCGTCAACAGAACATAGCCAAATGCGAACTTTTTGCACTCAACCAAACGGTCGCGTACTAAAATGTTACCAGCAGAATCGATTCCGCAATCCACCTACACCTCGTGTGGTTGGAATCGCGGCCGACTCAGCATCAGGTTACGCTACTGGAGTTCAAAGGCCGGAATCGACCCCGTGTGTCGTCAGCGACAGTTGAAGTCGATTCCACCGCCGAGCGACATCAAGCAAAGGCCGACACCCGCAAAGTCCAGACCATCTGACACACAACACCGGGCAGACCACCGCAAGAGCCCGTCCGCCGCGACCGGACGGCACCGGACGACGAGGCAGCCCTCGAGCAGCCCCGGACATCAGCGCAGATGCTGGGCGCACGCCACAGCAGCGGGGATCAGAGCGCCGCCCGCCGCGACCGGACGCCGGCGCCACCTGCCGTCCGTCCACCGGTGCAGCCGAGACCGGCAGGCGGCGCTGGCGCCAGCCACGGCGCCGACACAGGCGGTCTCGTTTGGTCGCCGTAGCCGTGGCAGTGGCGCTTTTTCTCGCCAGCCGCGTGAATGAGACCCGCTCGCCAGATATTGATCAAAACCGGCTGAGCAGCCGTCTCGCGGCGACGCCCGGCCGCCTCTCCACACCGGCCAGTGGGCACACGGTGCGCTCCGCCGCGGCCTCGGCCCAGCTGAGAGGCCGCGGCAGAGCACGGCCGCACGGCTGAGAGGTCAGAGCGCACGTCTGCCCGCGGCTGAGACCGCAGCGCTCCGCCGCGGCCTCGGCCCGGCTGAGAGTCCGCAGCAGAGCACGGTCGCACGGCTGAGAGGTCAGAGCGCACGCCTGCCCGCGGCTGGGACCGCGCTGCACAGCCGAGACCACACAGCCGCCGGTCTCCGACAGATCTGAGATCAGAGCGCACGTCTGCCCGCGGCCGAGAACGCGCCGCTCAGACGAGACCACACAGACGCCGGTCTCCGAAAGATCTGAGATCAGAGCGCACGTCTACCCGCAGCTGAGAACGCGCCGCTCAGTGGAGATCACACAACCGTCGGTCTCCGAAAGACCTGAGATCAGAGAACACGTCTGCCCGCGGCTGAGACCGCGCTGCACAGCCGAGACCACATAGCCGCCCATCTCCGACAGATCTGAGATCAGAGCGCACGTCTGCCCGCGGCTGACACCGCAGCGCTCAGCCGAGACCACACAGCCGCCGGTCTCCGACAGATCTGAGATCAGAGCGCACGTCTGCCCGCAGCTGAGAACGCGCCGCTCAGTGGAGACCACACAACCGTCGGTCTCCGACAGCACACCAGTCAAACCCACACAGAACAAATCGCGCCACCGGCACCAACACATCACGGCAACACCCAGGAGCGGCGCGCGTGCCCGCACTCTGGCTTCCACCGCGCCCAGGCAGCCAGGTGGACTAGTGTCCCTGCCAAGCCCGCTGTACACCAGCATGTAGCCCACACAGCTGCCCGCCCGGCCAGACCCAGCTGGGCGTCGCTCTCACCGTGATGAGGTAGGGCATGCTGTAGCCGAACATGTTCCACTTGATGAGCTCGCCGCTCAGGTTGGTCAGCTGGACGGACAGGGCGCGCGGCACACCGAGCGGCGTGCGCGGGAACATCAGGTGATTGGTGGAGATGCGCAGCTTGGCCTGGCCGCGCTCGCTGATGACTTGCTGCAGGCCGGGCGGCCGCGGCCACCAGGCCGAGTCGCCGGACGGCGGCGCCGGCCGGCCCGCCGCCGGCGACGACGGCGACGGCGTCCGCTTGGTCAGCTCCAGCGGCGTCTGCAGCGGCCGGCCGGGCGGTCACGACAGGCGCACCACGCACCACGGCAGACGTACCACACGTCATGACTGGCGGACCAAACGTCATGACAGGCGGACCAACTTCACGACGGGCAAACCACACGTCACGACAGGAGAATCACACGCCACGACAGGCGGACCACACGTCACGACAGGAGGACGAAATGTCCCCGCAGACGGACCGAATGTCACCGGACGGACCGAATGTCACCGGACGGACCGAATGCCACCGGACGGACCGAATGTCACCAGACAGGCCGAATGTCACTGGACGGACCGAATGTCACCAGACAGGCCGAATGTCACCAGACAGGCCGAATGTCACCAAATGGAGCACACGCCGCGAATGGACCCGGAGCGGAAGTCAGGTGGCGACAAATACTCCGCGCGCCGATCCCACACGCGTTACGGGCGGGGTCACACTACAACTTGTGCGCCTGCTAGACATCACGCGACACAGAGGACTTGAACGGAGGCCGCGCACCGAAGGAAACTAAATCACATGATAAATATTTTCCTGGTTTAGTTCACGAAAAGCTGCGGCCTACTGCAATTATTTACTTTGTATCCTACTTTTTCCGAGACATTTCCTCGCGCGCCGACTCCTTCCCCGCTCCCGTAATTCTGCAAGGTTTTGACCACAAAATGAATCCTAAGGGGGTGCTTACCGCACGCTAGGGCTCCATTTTCGCAATATTGTAGTCTATAGAGCTAGGGGTGGATACTAAGCCAAAAGTACCTTCCTTACGGCGCAATTTTGACTTCAGCCTCAATGTCAACTAAACACAACAGGTCGCACAAGTCTAAATAAATCCACAAGGCCAAAGTAAATCCAAAAGATGTCGCTAATCCGAAAGAAGGAATAATTCACATCTTCGGAGTTTGCCTGGGTTCAGAAGCTGCTTTTCTGCTCGTATGTCAGTTTTTTGCGATAAAAATTGAGCTGATGCAGATTGCCTGTTAGCCTGAGTATCTTCGCCAGCCCGTCACGCGACACGACAGTCACACACACACCGATGCGGCCCCCGGTGGACGTGGCGCAGCAGCGCACACCCCAGCGCGGGTCTCTCTGCACGAGACGCGCACTGCCAACGCCGCAGCCTAAACAGGGCGACCATCGTCAACCGGCACACAACACGACAGAGCACCGCTTCAGACGTGGAACAGAGCTGGACACTGATCCGGACGTCTGGCGACGAGGTTTTCGGCCGCGCACGTCCGGCACCACCAGCCACGCACGTCCGGCACCACCGGCCGCGCACGTCCGGCACCACCGGCCGCGCACGTCCGGCACCACTGGCCGCGCACGTCCGACACCACCGGCCGCGCACGTCCGGCACCACCGGCCGCGCACGTCCGGCACCACTGGCTAGTGGAAACATGGAGCAGCGATCAGCACTCGGTACGCCACGCTTGGATACGGACACCACTCACACCGCTACCCCACGGACATTCTGGCGCGCCAGACGAACACGCGCGCTAGCAACGTTCGGTAAGATATCGTGCGTTGGCTGGCGGTGACCAAAACACCCGTTAATACCCGAGCGGCCCGGGGGCGATCAATGATTAGCTGGTAAATACTAATGCCCAGTCTCCAATCAGCCTGAGTTAAATAGGGCAGCAACTCGGAAGCTCGTAACGCCAGCGAGTCGTGAGCAGAGGGCGAGCCCACAAGGCGACACACGACACTGGTCACTGGGCGGGTCGACCTTCACTGACACGCCTCCAAAGGCGTCTGCTAGTTGCCGAGTCGCGGGTCCGGAGAGTCCACAACGTGCGTCGAATAGTCAATGCCACACGTTTATCTCACCTCGACGGCAGAGTCGACGAGCCGCCCTCCCTTTCCCCGCTCCGAGTCAGCGATCACGGTCTGCCAGAGGGATGTCCGCCTTCCCCCCTTGAGCTGCCCCCCTTGAGTTTCTTACCCCCCCCCCCCTTGAGATGGCCGCCCCGCCCCGCTTACCGTCTGGCGGTGAGGCGACTCCGCCGGCCTGCCCGGCTGACCGGGCGCCCGGTACACGTCCGACGAGTTCCTGAAACTGAGACGCGCCGCTATTAGCGGCAGGATGGAGGCGCCGGAGCAACAGGAGGCGGCCACACGAGAGCGCACCACCTCCCGTGCCACCGCCGCTCGGGGCCCACCGCGGCGCAGATCCAGCCAACCAGACCAGCGCCCCGCCGCATCGACCCACGCTCCAGAACTAAGCGTACCCGCGTCCTGGCAATGGTCCACCTCAGACATCGCCGGTCACGCCCAGCTGGACATCCAGTAAACGCCATGTCAACGCTAAATAATGCGCTCAGTGGACGACTAGTGTATTGGTTCGCAGCTCGGTCACATAAAAATATCGCTGAATGCAATCGTGCTGACTGGGGCGCACTCGTAATTGATGAAACACGACGGATCCAATGCTTTGCAGACTCCCGAAATACAGGATTTTCATAGCTTAACTAAAAAGCCCGTCTCGTGCAGAGCAAGTTAACTTACTGGATTATTCATGCACGTTGCTAACAACCATCCCTCCAGTATAATTTACAGCCGTTAAGCGGATGGTCGAGATATATCAGCCGCCTTCAGGCCACCTCGCCCGGCGCGCTGTGCAGGTACACACCGGCACGGGCCCTGCCGGGACGACCGCACACCCAGCCGGTCAGCGCGCTCCGGGAAACTGACCTGGGGTCGTACGGGCTGGAGAAGTCGTGCGGCTTGGGCTCCGACGCCACGGAGAGCGGCCGCGCCGGCATGTCTGAAACGGGAGGCGAGCTCGTCCAACACGGCACCAGCAGCTCACAAATCACCCACAACTGGTGCCTTGGCGGCGGTGGACAATAGTCAGAGCGCCCAGCGATGAGTTGCGGGCAGGCCACCAGCACCAGTCATCTGACGCCGGCAAGCCGCAGTCAGCGCGCATACATCGTGTTGCGCGCTACATCCCCGCCGTCCCCTTCCCATTCGGCATGGCACGCAGCCATGACAGCATTGCGAGCAGTCTCGACTCGACCAGCAGTCTCGAACTGGATGGAAGACGACCACGAGCCGGCGCGCGTCGACGACCGCCACTCACACTTGAGCGGCAGCTTCGTCTGCTTCATGCTGGAGAAGAAGAGCTCCTCCATGCGGGCGGCGGAGGCGCCGAGCGCGGCGGCGGCCTGGCCGTCGGGCGCCTCGCCGTCGTACGACGCCTGAAACGGGGCGGCACGGCGCGTCAGCGGGCCGGCGCGAGCTCAGCGGCGGCTGCACCAGCCCTGCGGAGGCGCAGGATCGGCGGCCACCCCGCCGCGCCCGGCCCAGTCCAGCACCGGCCGTCTGCCGACCGACCGCCGGCCTCGATCGGCCACGGTCGGCTCGCTGTCTGAAGGTCTCGACTGCAAGAGTCACCCAGCTAATGGAACATGGCCAAAGCGACTCCCCCAATCCAGCTAATCCATTGCGATCTCAAAAACCAGCCGCGCGCTAAAACGTCACCGCTCCAGCGTTTCTGACAAGCACGTTCATCACCGAGTGCCTGAAAAGCGGCGTTTGGAACGCATGCTCCGATGATCTGCGTAGCAGAAGCCTGTTCAATGCGTTTACAGTCCCCTCTGTTGGTCAAAACCGACAGCCAAGCACCGTCCGTCGATAGCAGTTACATTATATACCGTACTTTCAGGCACACTCAATGCACTGCTTGTGACAGCCCATCCGCGAAGGCAGCGTGGCGGCCAGATCTACTCCACATAAATCCGGCGTCCAAGCCAGTCGCCACGCTTCGGCCGGCCCCGTCACCACTGGGGGACGAGCCAGCGCCGTCGCTGCGTGCAGCGGCGCACCCACCTGGAAGTTGATGGTGCGGAGGTTGGCGGGCGTGTGGTGCGACGGCCCCGCCCCTGGCGGCCGGCGCCGAAGCTCCTGGCGCAGCGTCTCGTCGCCGCTCAGCACCAGCACGGCGCCCACGTCCTGCGCGTGCGCCACGGGCGGCACGACGGCCGTCAGCTGGCGCGTGTCGCCCGGCCGCAGGATGAACTGGCTGGGGTGCACGGTGGCCTGGTGCGCTGGCAGCGGCCGCTCGCACGCCATGTCTGCAACGGACGCGGCGGCGCGCGCCGCCCGTCAGACGCGCAAACATCCCCGGCGCAGGGGCATGGCGAGCCGATCACGGGCGGGCAGGGCTGAGGCTGACGCCGCTTCAGCAAAGCCCGGCGGGCGCGCTCCGGCTCCGACTCACAGTCGTGACTCTGAGTCGGAGCCGCGACGCGCAGCGCCGGGTCAACGACGCACCGGGCCGCCTGTTCGTAGGGGCGGCGAGCGCGCGCCGTCTGACGACCACGCGCGCCGCTCGCCCCACCCGCCACTCACGCACCGCCGGTGCACCTGAGCCGGACAACAGAATCGATACGCCTGAGCAAAAACGTGACCGATGCGTGAAACACATCGGTGTGCGATATGTGAGCGCTCTGGGTTTGGTGTCCGAGCGTAGTTTTTCCACGACGGATTGAGCCGAGGCGACTACCAGTACTGCGCGGTAAGAGCAGGTCCGTGGTATCGCCCCCCCCCCCCCCCCAGCCCCTGGACCCGCCTCTGTTACAATGGCTTAATCCACAGGTGTCACCATGCAGCAACTCACGACGTTCCTGGTAAGAGACTATAGGATTTCTGCCTCCAATTGCTGGAATGCTTTTCACGCAGTCCCGATGTTCGTAAAGCGAATAAGGCATAAATTCATCGGTGGCCTAGTGAAATCTTATGTTACAGGGTGGAAAATAACTCAAATTTTACGTTTTCCGCCACCAACCGTAAAGTAAACAAGCACTGCCGGCATGCTGACAATAATTTTGACGTATGCCTTCGTCGAACCTCCCACCTTCGAACGCGTAACATATCAAAAAGATCGCACGAAAGTGGTGAAAGCTGAATACCAAGACGCAGTTCGGTTAACATCCTGGCGTGTCGCGAGCTCGAATAAGTGTTTTTTTTTAATCAGCTCTATGAACAGTGTTTAAGCTTTTGAATAAGATAAGGCATAGTTTATAATCGGCTACTACCATGCTTAGAGACACGGCTCTTTTATATCCAGAAGCATCCACAACAGCTCGGCAATGACCTGCCATGCGCAAAACCCCGGCACACGGCCGGCGCCAGTGGAAAACAACCACACCGAACTAAGGAGTCTGAAACCAATTACAAAGCAGGCTAGGTAACCTAATATTCAGAAGGCTCATAAGCTAGGAAAACTATCAGCCTACAGCCCGATAAAGCCAATCTCATGCACGTCATCTGTCACACTCCATCTGCCAAGAGGAGCATTACTGGTAACAATAACGGCCTGAGTTCCCACGAATACCGCACAAAAAGCTGACAACACGCGTTAATCTGACATTTTACGAACGATGTCAAGCATACGTAAAGCACCGACCGCTTTTTCGCATCCGCACGAATTGGTATACAAATGACGCCTTCTTGTTTGTTTGCAAACATACACAGTGAAGTGACGCCTTCTTGTTTGCTCGCAAACATACATACACATGCACATACAAACATAAACTTGACAGTGAAGGGCTCCTGATTAACTGATCATTTCAAAGCCCACAAGATTCGCGCAATCTCGATTTCACAACTGTACACGGCGCATTTCCGCGGTGCGATTAGAAGATAAAGCACATCCTCCGCTTTCACCAAAATGACGCAACTTGAGGCATCAAATCTTGTGCGTAATAATATTCAAAATGGCGCGACATCGTCGCAAATGAACACGGGAGGAATGCCCACGACATGGAAATACCGAATATCTCGCTAACCACAAGACTTAACACTTATCGCAGATAACGACTGAAACGTGTCCTTTTTAGCCCCGTAGTGTGCCCATACCACCCAATGAATACTAGCAACTTTCCTCCAGTGACCGACAATGCACAAAACTGCGCTCCCAAGATTCACGGCGTTTTGATGCACGGACCACTGCACAATCTCTCAAACGTTCTCCCGACATTTATCTGAAACGTTCCACAACCGCAAGCGGTAACGAACCGCTTGTCACGACGACACGTTGTCTGCGTGCCTTCATCGCAGCAGCGATGCTGGATTGTAGCACTCAACACACAGCCCCGACGCCACCGACCTCCAAAAGATCAGCTTACTCACATGGTGACCTGAAGCCCAAGAAGGGGAACTGCCTCTGCGCAGGCGAAGAGAAGGAATAGTACATGGCGGCTGGCTGAAGTTCACCCCGGCCCGGTGTCACTGGCACCACTGGCCCCCTGACCCCAGAAGCCGCGCACACCCCCTACCGCCAACGGGCGCGTCACCAGCCGACCAATCCAGGGGTCGAGTGGGGGTGGGGGTGAGGGGATTACGGAGGGTATTACTCTCGATTTATTTTTCAAGAACGCCATGTGCTAAATTCGAAGGTAACTTGTGAAGTGTCACTTCGTAACAATTGTAACTTGTGGTCACGCATCTCCTGTTGGCGCCCCCCCCCCCCCCTCTCCTACCCTTGGCGCCGCCCCTGCATTCCGCGCGGCACGGGCTCGTCCCCCGCTCGCGGCGGCAGCCGTGCCCGCGGGGCGGCGGGGAAGGGGGAAAGGGCCAGACCTGTTTGTCGTCTCTGATCCTGGGGGCAGGTACACCGTTATCCGGGGCCTGGGGATCTGCCCCTCCCCCGCACTCCCAGACGCGCCCCGGCACCTTCAGGGGTAGGCGTTAGGGACGGCAGGCGGGCGCCAGGAGATCACTGTTTCCGGAAGGGCACAATTACAAGGCACGCTAAATATGACACTTGGTCATTAGGCTACAAAGGGGAGCGACAGTAAGAGGCCCGGAAGGTGGAAATAACCAGACCTTGAATTCTAATCGTCTCAAAAAGGTGTAAGCACCCTCGAACGGGACTGGGTGTACCGGACATCGGCCGGTTTCAAAACAGAAATTTATGCCGTTAGGATTAACGGAAAGTTTGCTTCAGTGAATGATGAAGTTCACACTAGTCATCACAATGAGCGCGGATGCTTGACAGAGACCCTGAACGACAATTTTTGACAGCTGGTGAGATACAAAAACGCGCCCGTTCTCGCGCGCCTCTCCCAGCTCGTGGTCGGGACGGGTGGCCCCTGGCGGAGGGAGCGGACACTGCTGGAACTGTGACGGAGTGCCGTGTGCCATTGCGCGCCATGACGGCCGGTGGCCGATTTTATTTGGACCGAGTTTGACGCGTGCAGCAGGACACAAGTACGCAATGAACTCAAACGTGGCTTAGTAAGCGGATTGAGACGAGTTGTCATGTCTCACGCCTGAAATGATCGTCTGGAGGACCCTGCTCATCTGGCGTGTTGGGACGAACACAACGTTTCGGCCACTCCACTCTCCGACCGTCGGCAGGTGTAATTGAGCTCCGGGAAAGGGAGCTAACTGGCCGAGCCACTGTGTTCGTTCAAAGGACCAGACGAGGACGATGGTTCGAACAATTATTCCATCCGTGAACCCAACTGTGGTTATAAATATCGGCTACGTGCGGCCCAAATGAGCACACGGCTTGGTAAGACCTATTCTGGAGAAGTACGTAGCCTTTGACGGAACTCAGTACAGGTTTGACGAACGGTTTCGCTTGGGGATACCAGTAGCGTAATAGCTGACCTGAGTGTCTGGGAAACTAGAGGTACGGGGTTCGATTCCCCGCGATGCCCCCTCCCCCCTCGGACAGTAAGAGGCAGGTGACGCCATATAGCCTCAGCAATTGAGAGCAATGTAAAGCCCTGCAATAGTGGATCCCGACAAACCGCGATGACGAATCTAGACAAAATGATCGCGAAGGCGCTCCTATTTCTGAGGCGGGATAGAGTATGTTCGCAAAAACTTCGGTCCTCCAGTTCACACCACCCGAAGTCCGGGCGATCGGCACGTCCCAACGCCTTTTGTGATTCACGCGAGTATGAAAGTGTGGATTGAAGAAACACATTTCCTCTAGAAAATTATTTGTATGATAACATTTTTTGAATGATATTTTTAATATTTTTATTTTTACATGACATGATATATTATATTTTATATGATATATGATATTTATTTTGTATGATATATACATGATATTTTGTATTATGATATATGATTTCATGATATTTTGATATATATTTATATATTTTTCATTTCTTATGATAACATTTGCTGATTTCTTTTGAATGTAATGCCAAGTCACTTAAAAGTATAAATCCTTCGCACTGGACATTCGAGCTTGCAACTGTTTCGTAAACAAACGTCCAGCGTGGAATGCGTCTCAATTCAAAGATGTTTGTCACGAGGAGCATGACACGTCAAACAGAATCGCAAATAATCTACCGAACGCAAGCTCAAACGTCCACTCACACGGCGTAACTATCAGCACGATCCCTTCCTGCCTTCCAAGGCTTGAAAGAAGAACTCGGTGCCACCAGATGAAAACGCGCACATTTTGATGGCTTGGACACGTCGCATCAAACCACGCGAAAATATCTGAAGGACATCGACGGTTGGTTCGTCGCTACACTGCCCCCGTGCGCAGGCGCCCAATCAGCGACGAGCCGCCTAACCCGCAGACAGAAACAACGGAACAGGGCGTCGCGAGGCCAGGGGCAGACTGCCTACCGCACTGATGCGCTACGGCAATGGGTGAAAGACGGCTCGTAAACTGCCAGTGTCAAGCGTGTATCCGCCAGTGCGTCAGATGCCTGTGGGATCGGTGCGTCAGACGCCTGTGGGATCACAGCGTCAGATGCCGATACGTTATCAACAGCCCGGCCAACGGCCGGCGGTCGCGCCGGCGCGTGTCAGGGGCCGAGCGGAGAGAGGTCATCGCACAAAGCATACAGCGTCTGCAGCTCTCCTGCAATACGGCCGCAACAGCGATGCGGGAGCAAGGGCCGCCGCCAGCCGATTTTGTTGCAGCGAACCGCCGTCCGCTGTACGCATCATAAGCAGCACGATATGCACAAAGTTGTGCCGTGTTCAAAATTCGTATCCAGCTACTCATCAATTTGTGAATGTTGGTTTGTAGTATTACTCAGGGGGGGGGGGGGGTACCTACCCGTCCGTGACGTCAAATCATGTGACGACAACGTGTGACCGAGCCTCCCTAATTGTCTGCCGAGGTGCGTCAGCCGGCTAGCCCGAGCGGCCTGGGCATGACTAGCAGAGCACGAGGACGCCACAACGAACCAGAAATACCACAGCCGCTGCCACTACCGCCATCACCCACCATCACATCGGCTGCAGAGAGTGGGGGGCTTCGCATTGATCCCTTCGAGGCTGAAAGGACTGTTTAACCGGTGCTGCCACTGAGTTCTGCTAACGAAGTGTTGTTTTTAGCCTAAATAATTAAAGTATCACCGCGCAGTACAGCGGTCGCGGCCTTCTGCAGTAATTTCCCGCAGTCGTTCGTCGTCACGCCGCCGCAAGCAACATGACCGGCGCGTGGGGTCTGCTGAGAGGGGGGGGGGGCGGCATGGCTCGTGAACAGACGCAGCACGACACGATCCAGGATGTGCACATATAACGTGGGCACTTATGCGGCATCTTTCTGGGCAGCGGCGGACAAACAGCGATAAATAACATAAAAGGGCCGCTGCGCCGATGCGGTTGTTGGTACCTACAGAAGCGGCAGCAAGGACTCAAGTAAAGACGTGGCAGCGAAGACAGCCCGTCCAGTTTGTGAAAACGTGGGGCAGGAGTGGCTATCCTCACCTTCCCCGTCGTTCGGGATAGATTTAGCGTGGCCCCTGTGGCGCAAATGTTGAAACCGGACAAGCCTCGTTCCTGATCTGCAAGTGTCTTAGAGGCACTCACTTTTCCGTTTGTGATCAGTTTTAACGGCTTTGAACGAACGCCAGGCGTCGGGAATAAAACACACATCGAATGACGAACGACCGACAGCCCGTGCCCGGAGAGCAGCTCCAGCAGCCCACGCATGCATCGCGCGCACGTCATGGTGACAAATCCATATATCGCGAAGCTGCGGTTAAACGCGTCCGGGGCGGGGGGGGGGGGGGGGCTGCGAGATCCGACCAAACAGTTCAGCGCGGAAAAACTCGCCTTCGGCCAGCGTTATCGGATCGATGCTGGTCTCGCTGCCCTCGATAACAGGGCCGTCAGAGCGTACTGATGAGGTGTTTCGCGTCAGCAGCGGGGGCGGCACACATCAGCCGGAGCAGCCTGGCGTCACCAGACGGACGCCCCCTGGACGTGCTGTCATCCGTCACTGATGCGGGCTCGGCAAAAAGTAAACCAACCAGAACGCAAGGTCTGCTCCATTTTCCGTGGATTCACGTTCGCATAAAGCTTGCGATGCAACGGTTTGGCTCTGGTCCGAGCTCTTTCGGCCAACAATGACTATCTCCGAGTGATACTGATGCGATCCCGCAGATCGGCGAGGGCCGGTGCGATACCGCAGGGCCGCCCTGGAAGGTCTCCGCTGGCGAGACTCACGCCGCACAGGGAGCCAGTTTCGGCGCCGGTGCTCGGAGTTCGGACGGACTCCCGCCAGGGGGCTGTGAGGCCACCTCGTGGCTGCCAGCGCCGGCTGACACCCCGCTCCCCGACGGATGAGGCGTTGTCGGCAATTACGACGAACCGGTAAGCGACCCACACGGGGTGGACACACGACACATTGGGTTTGTTGCGCTATTGCGCATCCATTTACTCATTAGTTGCTACACACACACGAAGGTATTTGCTGGCCCAACCAGACGTTGGGAAGAGGAACGGCTGGAGCCACCACGATCTTACAACTTTGTTTTGTTCGTGGGAGGTTTAAGCCAACAACTCACACCACGACCCGGCCGCCAGGTGCCCCGGGTAACCACATGCGGCGACCCCATCGGCGCGACTATCCCCTGATCTGAACGCGTGATCTGGCTCTGTTCGTTCACATCCTGGACTCGTGGCGACAAACTGTGCCCGGCAGTGGGCAGGTGGCGCTGCGGGGCGGCGCGCGCCAGGCTCACCCCTGCTGCGACGTTTTGACACGTGCTCAGCCTCGCGCGGGGAGCCCAAAGGGTCGAACGTCGGGACTGGAGCGCTACTGGACTTCATTTTAGAACAAAGTGATACTGCAGAGCCAGAGGATCACCCACCCTTTCACTTCTGCCGGGTGCCATTTTGCATATGTGAATATCAATGTCGCCGAATCAGAACTTAATTCAGAAGCCCGTTGCTGACAGAGTGCGGCCCAAGCCGTCCCCGTACCGGTTCCACCCGAGCGCCGAGGGGTTACGCCTACGCTGGTGTGACGCTCCCATCTGGGTGAGCCAGTTCTGCGGGCATTTGCATGGGGCGGGCTGGCAGCGGTATTAGCGCACCTCTTGTCTCCCTGCGTAGTCGTGCAGCTCTAAAATGGCCCGGAAAGGTCGCCGAGCTACCGCCCAGCCAATGCATGAAGCTAATGCCAATGTCAATGCAAAGCAGGAAGCAAACATTCTCAGTCTGGTCACTCGGCCCTGTTCACAGCCTGCTGCCCCTGACGCCCTCGAAATCAACGGCCCGTGAAAACGGCTGTGACACCGCGACGGTTCCGGAGGTGGGAAAGACCGTGGGACGGCCCGCACTACAGCTACACATCTCCGACCGGCCGGCGACGGCGGGCCGGCGGGCAGCCTCCCTGCCGACACAGCCGTCTGCTGCCGTTCCGGTCAGCAGCGGCGGGCCGGCGAGCAGCCTCCCTGCCGACGCAGCCGTCTGCTGCTGTTCCGGCCAGCAGCGGCGGACCAGCCAGCGGGCAGCCTGCCGACACAGCCGTTCGCTGCCGTCCACTCACCTGAGAACACCACCAGCTTGATGTAGGCGGCGCGCTGGCCGATGTTGGCGATCGAGAAGCCGGCCAGTCGTGTGCCGCCCGGCCCGGCGGCGTTCAGGCTGAGGCAAGGCCGGCCGGACGGGTCGCGCGCGTTCACGTGGATCTGCACGTCGGACGCGCCGCCGTACCCGCTCAGCGGGATCTGGCGAGAGCACGGGCGCCCGGTCACGTGACGGTGGGTCACCACGTCACCCGGACGGCACGGGCGGGTAAACACAGCACGAGTAAGACCGCACACCAGGCCAGATCAGGTCAGGTCACAGCGCCCTACCTGCTCGGCCTGACCACAGCTGAACATCACGCCGCGCGGTTACGTCGCGCCACCAGCAAACCGCAGCTCTAGCGTCACACGCGGCGGAGGGCCCCCAGAGCAGGAAGACCGACAGCTGTGGAAACGGTCGACCACAGACTGCGCCCCACGGTCCAGCAATCCCCGCACACCGCGCCATGGTCAGGGACACCTGCCGGCCAGGGACGGGAGAGGCGGAGGGGGGTGGGGAGGGGACGGCGGGAAGAGGCAGTCGCCGCATCTCAATCCGTCAAATAACTGAAGATTTATACCATGGCGCTGCACGGGAACGACACGTCAAACCACCATACCCTCCCCCTTCCTGCCCCCTCCCCTCCGCATCTCTGAGGCTCCACCGAGACCGGTCTCAACAGCCTTGGGCCCGCCCAGCGAATCGCAGTCTTACTGCCAGCGCGTCCAAAAGGCAACAACTGAAACCTGCGCACAAGGAGCAGTACAGCTCTCGATGAAACCAGTACTTCGGCCTTCGACGTCGCTAGCACATGAGGATTGCGCCGGTGCGTGCGGTGCGGCGCCAGCGGGCGCGCGCGCGCGCCGCCGCCGCGTGACCCACCACGGCCGCGTCGCGCCGCTCGTGCTGGCCGCCGCTGGGCCGGATCACCACCGTGCCGCGGTAAGGCGCCGGCGACGACGGCGTGAACACCACGTTGACGTTGCGTTCGGTGCGCGGCGGCATGGCGATCTGGAGCGAGCCGCTCGGCCGCGGGAAGGCCTCGAACTGCCGGCGGACGCGACACCCGGTCAGCGGCGCGGCGGCGCGGCGCCGCGGCGCCGCGACAGCGCCAGCGCGCGTCACACGTGCCGCCGACGGCTGACGTCATCACTGGCAGTCGTGACTGCTGGGGCCGCTGTCGGGGCCGCTGGCGGGGCCACGCCCGGCGAGGACCGGAGACGGTGCAGGACTCCCACGGAAGAAGGTGAAGTCGGGACTCTCGAGCCCCCATGTCACCTGATTCACTCGGCCGGTTACACAAAAGGCGTACGCGCCGCGTGCGGCCGGTCGCTGAGAGGGCTCCACAATGTCATGCAATCAGCACGATCTCGCTGCGGCGCACGTGGTCAGGTGCCAAGAAGGGGAGGGGATGTAACGGGTTAGCTGGAGGCGTAATTAACAGGTCCACAGTGCCAAAGAACATAACAACAGTGACGCTTCGCCGGACTTTTAGTCAGCTAATCACGTCACAGGAAGTAGAATCCATAACACCAATGTCATCACCGGCGTCAGAAACACATCACTTGTATACACCAATAACTCCCATGACGCCGCCAGTCAGACCAGTCAACGAATTTGGTAGGGTCCGGTTCCGGCGGGGCCACTCATTCGAACACCAGGTGCCTTTGCATTTTGAAGGGGCCTTGTGAGCCCCTGACGGCTCGGCTGCGGTTGGTCAAGGCTTACCGGGCGGATCAGCTCTTCGACATACCACACGGGGGCGGCGCTTGAGGTGTGCCGGCGCGGGACAAGCCGCAGCTTACTTACGCCCGATCTGCCGCAGCCAAAGCTGCTACTTTTATAGCACACGCTAAATTCCAACCGGTCTTATAACCAGTTAGTGTGGTCGGGAAAACATCCCATTATCCCGCAGAGAAACGAAGATCACCAGAACATTAAAAAACGTCAGATAACAAGTGGTATTATCTCTCGCCTGACCATAGGGCTTTGCTGTCATCAAAATGGGAAACAGTTGAGCAGGGCTTGCCGCCACGTCCAGCTGTTCCGAAGGGAGCAAGCACATGACTTTCTCTCCTGTGTCCAAACGTCGTTCACCCCCGGCAGCATCGCCCGAACACAGCCGCTCGCAAAACACGGACCCGCTAAACCCAGCTCACACCCGGCGCCGTCGGGTTCGTGCAAAGGGCTAATCATCTGCAGCCTGTGCAGCAGCGGTTGTGGCCGTGGCCTTGGCGCCGGCGCCGCTGCCGACTGTGGTCAGACCGCAGTCCGCCGGCCGCACCGCGGACACGTGAGGCCCGCCGACCCTGACCCGATGACCCAGCCGGCCGGCGCGGCCCCGACGCGGCAGCTGTGCCGTGGCTGAGCGCCGCAGGTGGCGGCAAAGTGCGCTGACCCCCCCCCCCCCGCCCCGACCCCCCCCCCCCCCCACACACACTTCAGCGGGCTACTATTGGCTTCCATGGTGCTGGGGCTACCGAAAACACAACTGTTTAATACAACACGCAGACATATGCAGCAGCGCTCCTGATTCACATGACATCTCTCATTTCGCAAAAACTTTTCTCCATACTCTGCGATCATTCAGGAAAGTATGAACATCAACAGGGGCTATATGGGACGCAGTGTGCAGCGGAGGTAATGCTATCATGGCTGCATACTAGTTCAAAGTGTTGTGGCCAAAACAGAGCAAACTTGCCAATGCTTCAACTGTTTCCATTTCTTTAAAAAGATGCTGATACGACTCTTGGGGACGTTACTTTGGCGCCGCCCAGGACCGCCGATCGGCGGCCCAGAACTTATGTCGGGGATCAGAGCATTAACTCCTGCCCTCTGGAGGCGCTGGACAGAGCTCCATGTGCAGGCGACAGTGAAGGGGAGCAATACTGGGATCAAAGGTTTAAAATCTGAGCACACTCAGCATGGTAGCCACCTTAATGGAGGGCTTGTTCAAAAGTGGTGACTTGGCTTAGTCAACCTCAATCTGGACCACCCATTTGAAGCACAAGACAGACCATAGTATGCATGCAAATGTCACTGAGTCAGAGGATATGACAGCATGGATCATTTTCTTTCATCCCCTGCACTCCGATCTGCTCACTTCTGAGTGTGAATAATAAAAAAGCCCTGTGAGAAATACAACTTTTGGGTAAAATAGTGTTTCCAGCAGTACCTTGAAGTGAGGGCAGTCCTGTATGGACAGTGTCAGTTCCATGGTGTCCGTCTCAGAGCCATTCTTGACAAAGAGTGGCTGCATTGCACGGCCACCCACTGGCACGCCTGGCCACACCAGGTGCTCCCGGTTTGTGTCCAGCATGGTGGGCACCTGTGACCAGAGGATAATGTCATTAAACCACATGCCAGGTCAGGGGACAAGACCACACACCAGGGTCTGGGCAGGGGCAGGCAGACCACACACCAGGGTCTGGGAAATGGTCCAGCAGGCCATATACCAGGGTCTGGGCAGGGTCAGACAGACCACACACCAGTGCCTGAGATGACTGAGTGGGTCAAAGTTAAGTGCATGTAAGGGATCCTTCTAAGAAGGATGGTGCTTGGTGGTGCCTTGACAGTAATGACTAGAAGAGCACAGATCAAAGAGCAGGGTCAGGGAAGGCTCACATAATTTAAGCAGCCAAAAAAGTGATAGCAAACTGAAGAGCCAGATTAGGTGACTTCAAAACAGCAGGGTCAATGGACCTAATCCCTGCCTTAAGGGGCCAGGATGAGACTGATGACCAGATAAATGACTGTTTCAGATGGTTAAATAACAAGGTCAGCAGGGAGTGGCTAAGGGGCTATCTAAATGGCATGTTAAGTGCAAAGAGGATTTCAGATGGACATGAGCCAAAGCATAACCAGGGGATGGTAACTTTTGAACAGCATGAGGTTATGCTCAGGGCAGTCACAGATAATTCTGAATTATCTAAAAGCAATTTGAAAATCATGTCCAGGGGACAGAGTGGGGTCTTTTCTGACATTATCAGTATTTAATCAGGGGGAAGGTTTATAACTTGTCTAGAATATCTACCATACCTATATATGTATATATATATATATATATATATATATATATATATATATATATTACAATGATTTTGCACTTGGCTGCACTTGGTGCATAGGTAGATGAACACTGTGCTGATATGAAGCATTAATATGGTTAACTTAAGGAACTGTTTTTCCAGCATTACACAGCTGCGCTCCATTGAAGGGCAAAACAACCACTCACCATGTAGTCAAAAACCCAAATGTAAACAGAAGGGTGTACAGGTCTTTTCAGTTGGCAATACTACATCCAGGCCATCAAAGCTAAAATATCTCTAAATCAGTACCTCTGTGATACATCTTCTTGTCATTAACATGTGCACCAGCTGATATGTGTATGTATATTAACATATACATCTGGTTATCCATCACACAGGGGCATGCTTTGCAGTTCAATGCACATATGGCACACAAATTACCATCATTTAACAGGCTTTTCCTGTACAATAAGAATAGAAATCAGGCACTCTACGCTACCGTTCTCAAGGTCACGTCCAATCCTCCGCCTAACCTTGAAGTTCACTTAACAGCGTTCCATGTACAGTTCCTGAATGCCAGCAGCAGACAGCTAGAAGGCGCCCATGAAAAGGGAAACACAGCCCCGCACCATTTTTTTGGAGCACAATCCAATGCATCGATCCACCCCGACAGCCAGACGTTTGACCTACTTCCAGGGTCGGAAGAGGGAGTAGAGGTGTGGCCAAAGCAGCGCGGTCACCAGCAAACTCCTAAACGCGCATAAGCACGAATCACCTCAGTCACTACATAGTGCGTACTGAGAGACATTCTCAAGAACTTACCATCCAACGTGCGCGACGGCTGAAACTACGCGGGTGCACACCTCATCCGCGAGTCATCCCCAACCCCGCACAGTCCACCGCTGACCCACTTCCACAATTACGTCACAGCTCACAGGCGAGCACGTTCACTTTCGCTGCGTTCTGGTTGTACTAAAACGCTGCCTCGTAAAACCTCTTTTCGTTAAACGGATAAATCGAGTCTGGCACTCACGGCATAACAGACGAACGTTGCCAAACAAAACTAATATATATGCTTCGTAAGAGTTCCCATTTCAGTAATGCTGGGCTAGGCACTTTGCGTTAAAAGGGGTTCTTTGAACAATTAAGAGGAAAACTCGCACCTCGCCGCATAAGTGGAAAAGATAGCCACCAAGATCAAATAACAGACGCAAAAAAGTTATGGCACCCTTTACACTTGCATTATCCTACCTCAATTGCTCGTAGCACGTGCCAAGTTTTGTTAAGAGGAATAAATTTCGTCTTCGGAGTGCGCCGAAAATTGGGAGCACGCCTCAAAGCAGCGAAATTGGGCAGTCTGCCTACTTGCATGGCCCTCGGTCAAATACGTGATATTTAAACAGGAACATGCGACAGGGCAACAACGTCTATCAGTCTCAAAAACCTCGAGGCAGTTGTGGGTGCCACGAAGTTTGTCAACAAATGTGTATGACGTGTGTATGCCCTTGAGAGAAACCTAAAACAAAACGAACAAACTATTTGTTGGAGCCAGAATTCAGTAGCAAGTAGCGCCAGGCTTGATGACCTCATCCATATGTACCATGTCCAGGCCAAGATGAGCACATCCGATTGTACCACATCCAGGAAATGATATTCCATGGTCTTAACTCAGGTCAAGTATCTACGAAGCACTTAACAATAAGCTGATCGAAAGAGAATTCGCATTGCAAACACTGCAAGTTCAGTGCCTGTGGACCTTTGAATACTAAATATGGAAAGTCACAGATTGTCTGTAGTTCATTTCTCGTAGCGCGCACGCATTTCAGCTCATCAGTCATGTTTTAATCAAAGTTGAAGACTTTCCCGATGAGCTCACTAGCCTCAAGAATGTGGAGATTGTTCATAAGATCAGTCATATGAATCACCGCGGCAGTCACGGTGACAATGTCTGCCCTCGAAACGCAAGTCCATGATGCCCTCGACCGACGTGCCACGGTCCGCATACCCAGGTTTGACCGGCTGCGCTCAGTCGGAGGTATGCACATAACCGGCGGCAGGATGAGGGATGTGGGGGCGACGTGGTCAACCCGATCACATCCACGACTCTCATGATGTCCGGTGCGAGCTGTGCCGCAGGGGTAGGCCCATCACGAGCGAAAGTAACCGCATCGGGTACAGCCGGGCACAAGGTAAGCGGCACCCGCGCCGAATACTCTACCAGCTCGAAAGACAGGTCGAAAATGCGGAGAGCGCGGTCGCCAGAGTGTCGAGGAAGCGCACTTGGGCGACGATCGCCTGACCACTTACCGTACTCCAACGTTTGGAACTTGGCCGCCGCCTCCGGTGAAGCGCTCCAGCCCCTCGTTGGGCACGTGCATCGCTATCAAACGCGCCTGTTCGTCACCGACGGTCACGCTGCAGAGCTCGCGGTCCCACATGCTAGTCTGGGTGATGGAGAAGGCAGCCGCATCCCCTTGGCTGAACACGAACCCCACGTCCAGGAGGAGCGGCATGAGACGACTCTCACGAGGCGTGGGAGTACGACTGGCTCTCGGCCGCGCCGTGCAGCTCCGCGCAGAAGACCTGAAAGCGGGCGATGGCCGCGAGCCGGGCCGATCGCGCGCCGGGCGCCGGCTCAGCAGATGGCTTCTTCCTTGTAGGTACCGCCCGCGGCTTCACCCGCTGAAGCCGGCCTTTAAGTTCGGTTCGGCGTTTGGTGCCCTCCGTTCGCCCACCCTCTGGCTGACACGGTTAAATGCCAGCCACGCTGACGGTGGTGCCTGCGCATTCTGGCACAGCGGAGGTGCTTCCTGTGGACCAGCTCATTCACACAGCATTTAGCACATGTGAGTTCAGAGTGCGCAGGGCTTCAGGCAAGCTCTATGAATGTACGATCATTGGATACTGATCTGATACTGATCATTGGTCGGGTGTAAGACTGTTGAGCGTCCACCGCATGGAGCCCAGTCCAGTTTGTGGCTGCATCAGACATTGGCGCTCACTCATAATTCAGCATTCATTTACGCTCATGGAGCAGACATACACGTCGTTCACGCTTACAGGGAATCTTCCACGTTTGAAGATATTGAAGCGAGCATCAGGTATAATGAAATACATTCACTTACAATTTTTTGAATACTTCTAAGTGGGAGGCTGCTCTAGATATCACAATTTTTTTGTTTACTTAGTATGCTCCTTAAGGCGTCATTGTTTGATAACGTTATCGTACCTTGCACAACGTTTATTGATAGCTCAAGGACGGCTTCTATATCTGGAAATCGCGCTCACAAACGCCGGATATGAACGAATCGACATGGTGTTTTATTGGCCTTGATCGGCGCGTGGCCAATGAAATGACAGGATTTGAATGACGTTATTAGTCACTGATGCCTGGGCGACCTTGAAATAGTCTCCCCGAAAAAGACTCCGCATTCTCGCGGTCGTGTAGCTAAGAAAGTAGCGAGGGGGTGTAAGTCTTATGGACAGGATTGTGAGCTACACCGAAGGATCTCGATGGCTATTTCAGTTCAACCCCCCCCCCCCCACCCCCACAAATGTGAAACACTCCATTTAAGCATCCTGCGAGGGACTAAAACGTAGCCTCACAGGGCTCGAATGGTGCCCGGAACATTGGCCTTGCTCTTCTGCGGTCCACGAAAGCGTTGACCAGGATTTTCGACAAACGGACAGGCGGCAACGATCCGTTTCAGGGTTTGATCGCAGTGGTTGGATGCGAGGGGATGGAATCCCTCGCAATCGAGCCGACCACTCACCCCAAAGTCAGATGTCGTCCCCTCCAGTCCGCGACGAGCGGCTGCTAGACTGCAAACCAGCGTCACTTTCCTTGGATGCGGAAATACATTTACAATAGAAGTATGTATTATAGAATAAGTGCTAACAATGGCTTGATGTCCGATAACGACCTACGTCACTTCGAGCTGGCTGCCCTCATTGGCCAGAGTTCAGCGCTTCCAAAGGTCCGGTCCAGGGGGACGGGGGGGGATGCTGGACCTGGGACGGGCTCAGAGCTGATTGCTGACAGATCCCCAGACACGGCAAGCACGAGCCTACACCATAACCTGACTGCGGAGCTTAGCGTGCAAAAAAGCAAGTGCAAGCTGGGAGAAGTTCCCAGCATGCAGGCATCACCCGCACATGTGACGTACGCAGCAAACTAACAACTCGCGCAGACTCCGTTCACACTAAATTAATGGTCACGTGACCTGCGCGGAGCGTCTCATTCGACCTGCCACAACGCCCAGGTTAGTCCAAAGAACACGAAGGCGGCATGTGCGCTCCTCCGGGAGGTCCTTTCTGCATCAGGACCAAGGAGAACGCGTTTCACGCGCTCCTCGTCGAAGCAGGGACCTTCGCATCACGCGCCCGCCTCCGAGCACCGTCCGGATCAGACGGTCTCCACCGGAGCGGCGGCTGGATCAGGCGGTCTCCCTTCCGCCCGAGCAGCCGCCATCGGCCGCGAGCGCGAACAGGGTCGTACATCATCAGCGCGCAGCGATAGTGGTCGAATCAGGAGCTCCTGGCCGGCAGGTGCAGCTCAGGCGACCCCGGTCCGAACGGGGCCGGGTCAGGAGCAGCCTCCGGCCGAGCAGGACTCGGCCGTCCGGAGGGCGTCGCCTCACTCACGCAGCGCCGCCAGCCTGACGACAGGAGAGCACGGTCATCGAGCGCCCCTACATATATCTGACAAGAGTACGGCTCAGCCTCAGACACAGGTGTCATGTCAGTGAGCGCGGCTAAGTCCCCGGTTCGTGGGCGTCCAAGCCGGATGTCGTATGTGTTTGGAGGGGGGGGGGGAGGGGGGCATGTAGCAGGGCCCATCCGTACTAATTTAGGCTCCAGAATGAGGCGTACGAGCTCAGCTCCCTCCACAAGGACATTCCGCTGGCCCTTGCTCCCACAGGGGGCGGCGACGCCTGTACCTCAGCAATTACATGCGCGCGTGCACTGCCTGACAGTGATGACGGTCTTGCAGCAGACTGAACCACCGTCCCTCCCTTCCGCACTGTTTCAGGTGGAAACAAAATTTCCCGGCAATTTTGATAAACATCTTTTGTAAAGGCATACATTGCCACAACAATTTTTCACACACACACGCACACTGATGCGCATGCTCGAGTTCCATCCACCAAGCCTCAGTTCAGCATGAGAAATATGCGCCGCTAGTACACAAAACGCTTCGCATTGTCACGTGACCTAAATGCCCAGCCCACCTGCGTCTCTACTCAGAAGGCACCAGCCTACTCTCGTCTCTACTCAGAAGCACTATTCAACAAGCATTGGCGGAGAGCATTTCCTTTGTTTAGCTTCCCAAATACAGCCCCAAACTGACCACTTATGCGACTTCGGAACACAAATAAGAACACACAATTTCAAGATTACGCCTATTACGTCTAGTTACAGCTTCTTACTCGTACCCATAAGTACCCCCTCTGATGAAAAACCGGTCTAAAATACCCGAGCAGGCACCCAAGTTACCGCGCACTACCGGTATGGCGGATCACGAGCCCGACCACCATCACGTGCGAGCGGCCGGCAAATCGCAGGCGCACCTTTTGGAGAGATCGTCCTCCTGTGCGGCGCTGCGCTCTCCGATAGAGGTCGGGATGGAGACGCCACCCAGCTGTCCGGACACCTCCAGGCCGGCCTCGTCCGCTACCTGCAACAGGGCACCGCCAGGCGGCCCGGCCACTGACACACCCGGTGGCCGTTGGCACCCGCTCTCGGACTCTGCATCGTGGTCCTGTGACCGGAGCGTAACAGCTTCGAGATTCCGGGTGCCGTATCTGACGTAAATACCAGCACCGTTCCGTATTTTCCTAAGCGTTGGCAAATCAACAACATTGCATGAGCTTGCATTGCACAATATGTTTGACTTGTGCTGCAGAAGCACGG